CATCTTACAGGTGGTTTTTGTTGGTAGTTTGTAATTTCCTGTTTTTGTATAAAGAATATACATGTGATTTTTTAATTTTTATTTTAAAAGCCATTAATTGCCAGAAGATGTAGTGATGGACTCAATGTTATAACCCACAAACAGGTTTTCTTATGCCTGGTGTGTACAGTAGACTGACTATACAAGCTGGAGCATAATTTTAAAAGAGTCCAATACTGACCTGACTCACTGACTTCTATCAAATGATGAAGAATGTAAAACTGGCAAATGTAATCTTTGTTTTTTTCAGCATCAGAAACAAATAATGAAGTTGCAGTTGATGATGTCATTGAGAATCACGTTACAGGCCCACTTTCATCAGATGTTTTCCCAAATTCTGCGGATTCAGAGTTTTCACTGTCTTCTTCGCCATTCAATTCTTTGGATCGAGCAACAGCTCATACAGATGATGTGGTCCGTGAGCATTTAGGGAATAATTTGAATGTTGATGGGTTTTTGGAGAATCATGAGGAATCAGGTAGTAAAGAACAAAGTACTGAAGAGAACTTGCCAATGTCTTCACCCAGCAAAGGGAAAAAACCAGTTCATTGCAGAAGTTCCAGAGAGATCAATATAGACCTAAGAGCACAAATTATGAAAGAGATCCGAAAACCAGGAAGGAGTAAGTATACCAGATATCTTTCAGATGATTGACATGAGGATTAAACAAAGAATTCATATTAGATTACCATTTTAGAAATGTACTGAACTATAAGACTGAAGCAAAATACATTTAAAGCTGAAAAGGTTTGTTTTAAAATCTCTGCCAAAAACTTCCTGTATGAGTGATTAAAATATTGCTATACCTATCAATGTTCATGAAAACTATGGTTTTTGTATCATCAGTATTAGACTTAACTTGTTAGGTGTTCCAGTAATACCCTAAACTGCAATAATCTGTGTTCTTTCATGTTAGTTTTCATTAAACAGTATGTCGTTACTGTGGTTGATAGGAGATACAGCCTGAAAGCTTACAAAAACTCGAAGTTTGTTGTATTTCACTCAGATCTATTCAACAGATATCTGTATAGGCATTTTTAAATAACTGATTTCTCTCTTTTCTTTACCTCTAAGAATATGAAAGAATCTTCTTTTTACTGAAACATGTACAAGGAAGCTTACAAACTCGATTGATATTTTTACAAAATGTTATTAAAGAAGCTTCAAGGTAGGTAACTGAATCGTATTAATCTTATGAACTGCACCATGTAGTACTATACATAACTGCTTGACAACCATGCAGTTACTTGTTTGGAAACAATGCACTGCAAGTAAGTAATTCCCTATGAAAAAACAGAAATGCTTAAGCTTCTTGAGGTGTTTTTTGCACAAGCTTACCTTTTCCCCTCAGATTTTGTCTTAAAAATTTAGCAACTGTAACTGTCAAGTCACTTTAAACATAGATGGACAATGGGATAGAAAGAGTAGGTAACTTTAAAAAAAATCATTCAGATTTCAAAGTTCAGGTGTGAGTATACTGCTAATTTGAAAATCTGATGGAGTTGCATATTACTGTGAGTTGGGCTTTCAGAAACAGTTGAAATTAATTATTCTGCATCAGCTCAAAATCTTGTCCTAAAAATAGTCTTGACATCCAGGTATGCTCTGTAAATATATGTCTACTCTTTAGACATTTAATTCCGATATTATAGTCCTGTCTGAGACTTTGGAAATGGAGGTAGCTTTTCACTGGAGAAGAGACTTGCTGAGGATTTAAACCCTGTGTTGTTGATCCAGGTAGAAACTGTTCCTTACAGTATCCTGTAGATAGACTGTCCAAATTTAACCTTCTGCATATTAACTAAGAGGAAAGAAATGAAAAACATATTAGAACCAATAATGTTTGAGTTGCAGGGAACTAGTAATTCCGGCAGATTGCTTGGATCATAAATATAGGTAACTTTAAAACTTACTTCCAAAACCTCAAAGAATAGTTGCTTTTTCTTCCTCTGTTCTATTTTTGTAGCAGTCAGCTTTTTTCCTGTGGTATTACTGAACAAAATTTATGATCAAAAGACAAAGTAATTTTTGGATAAAACCATGCTAAGAGTTTAAGGTGCACTGGACGTTGGACATTTGTACAGATCCTCTAGCCTTTGTCAGCTTGGCGAGGCATATAAATTTATACAGATCATGCTCCTTCTAGAGCAACAATTACTTTATTGTGCTTTTGTCTGGTTGATATATTGCCTGTCAGAGTTGTTGCATAGCTTGCAGGTTAAACATGCTTCCTCACTGTCATGGCACATCAAAAAATAGTGTTGCTCTTGGAGTTTGTGGCAACCTTTAGTGGGGTTAGCATATTTGAGTCTGTAAAATTAGACTCTTAAGATCACCTGTAACTCATTTTTTTTTCTGCACAATCTCTTTGTTACACCTATCTTGAGTTGACACTTTTTCTGCAACCTTTGGTAGTGATTGAGTGTTGCTGTTGAATGCATCAGAATTAAATCCTGTCTGCTACCATAACCTACAGTTTTCTGTATCTACTGGTGGAAAAGGCTGGCTTTTCTTTGTTTCTGGTTGTTGTTGTTTGTTTCTGATTGTTGTTAACTTCAATTTTTATTGATTTGAGCGTAGGAACAGCTTGATGTCCCTCCTCCTCTTCTCTTGTTGGTTATATTTTTATAGTGTGATCATTTTATCCACCTGGATAACACTGCCTACAAACCCTGTTCACTTCTCTGCCTCCTTCCTTATCCAGGCAAGCTATCACATTTAACCCAGGTTTCCTGCTTCCTGCAGGGAACATCTCTAGGCCTTCCAGAGCTGTCAACCTAGTTTTGTTTTGTTAACTGGTAGCTGACTTTACAATGCCATGGAATGCAATTCAGATTTGGGATGACTGCTTTCTGTTCCCTGCTCCAAGAAGCTCTGTCTCTGAATACAGGCTAGAGAAAGCTGTGGATCACTTCAGCAACAAAATGTGTTTATAAAGAGCCCCATTCAGTTTTGGAGGTTAGTCCACTACATTTGTAAAGGGAGAGGAAGATTTATAAAACAGTCCCCAGCTTTCAACTTCTTTTGGAAACTGACTGGCCCACAGTTCCTCTTTTGGCAGCAGAAAACCTATCACTTTTGAGAGGCAATGAGGAAAAATGGAGGGGAAGCAGTACTTAAATGTGATATGTCTGTGGGATACTGAGGACAAGTAAGAAAGATGGGTAAGAGGCCAGAGCATGGGTATTCACTGACATAGCGGTTGGGAATGGGAGCTTGTTTTCCCCATAGTCAAACTGGGATTGTGGAGATTCCTGTGGTAGGGAAATTAGGGCAGATACCATGTCTCTGTGAGCCAACGACATGGACCAGGATGCCTGACTGGAACCTAGACGCTTTTGCTGGGCTTCAGCGAGGCCAGAGAACTGAACTTGGTGTATAGTTCAGAATGTTTTCATTGCTGCCTATCTGTGAGCACACATGTGGCTACCAAAGCACTGGTGAGAAGTGGCTTCTCAGCCCTTCCCCTTGTGACATTTCTGCACCTATCTGGAAACAGCAAGGAGTTTTACTCGTTGAGGCAGGGGGTGTAAGCAAAGGTGACAGAATGGCCTACTGTTTAGATTTATTCAGTCTATACAGAATAGAACTGCAGCGACTCCAGATGTATGGATTATGCCTGTATTTTTCTTTAATTTCTTTCTCAAAATCTAATTTGTATTTTTGTCAGGAAATCTACTCTGCATTGTGTAATGGCTGTTCCTTCACCAGTACCAACTTCACTAACCTTCTGTGAATGCACCATGAAGGCATGCAAATAATTCCTAAAAGCTTTTGCCAGCTTTAGAGTTACAGTTCTTTTGACAGATATTTTAGTTCTGTATTTCAGAACTACTTCTAGAAAAAGCAAACAATTCGCTTTTACCTGGATTTATGAGGGCTGAGTGATGTTCAGCAATGTGCTAGAGTAGACTGTAGTAAACATAGTTTTGTACTCATTAAATGGAAAAGCAAGTTAGCAGTTAACCAGAATGTTAGGAGAACAGCGTATATACATATGAGATATGTGTAGTCTCACCATGTGCTGGTCCTAAAGTAATAACTGAACCTTCCAGAGTTCAGGAGAAGTTTTTCTGAATGATGTTTCATGTATTACTGTGTGCATCCATTATCATGTTTTCTTTTAAATACAGGTTTAAAAAACGGATGCTAATAGAACAGCTTGAGAGTTTTCTGGAAGAAATCCATCGCAGATCCAATCAGGTCAACCATATCAACAGCAGCTAAGAAACTGCACACAAGAGGAAACCACAGCAGGGCACTGCTGTCCTTAATTGCATTCATTTTTGACATGCACTCTTATCTCCAGGTTCCTGTACCTGAAAGAATGAGCTGCTCTATAAAATGATGAGAAGAGTATCCATCATCTTTTTTTTTTTTCTTCACTTCTGTTATTTTTGTAATGTGAAAAATACTACGAAAACACTTTTATTTAACTAAATGGAGAACTTCTTGCTTGTCATGGACATAAGTGTCACTTTCCCTCAGGTTCTATTTTTCTTAATCCAACCTTCAAAACTATCACCTCTTAAGGTTGAACTTTGCCAAAAAGTTGCTTTGTAATTTTCAAAAAAAAAAAAAGCACATACATTAAGCAAGGTAATGTTTTGTATATACAGTTATTTTGGATATATTATTGTAAGTTGTATAAATGTATTTTGAAAAATATTTAAGAAAAGCACTTTTGTTATTCCATCAATAAAATCTCTATTTTAATCTTTGTGTAGGTTTGAGTACAGTTTTTGTTGGAGTGATTAATTTTGCCTTCCCTTTTCAGAGCTTATATATTCTAGTATCAGTGTTAAAGAATTAAGCATTTTGTGTTACTGGGTATTCCATTAATCAGAGAACGGGTGAAAGAAAGCTAATGCTGATTTGCAGCTACAGTAGGATGATATCTTGACCCTTCACTGTTTGGTGATGTTCTGTATGCACATTTGCAGCAATGATAAACCCCTCAGTTCTACTGAGAGACAGAGTGGGGTAAAGCAGGAATCAGCAGGCTGCACAGGGTTTTTCTGTGTCAGAAGTTTTTATGTGTTTACAAGTGCAGGAATAGCCAGAAGGTGCTGCTGCTTAGACACAAAATATCACTGATTGCTTTACTGGCCTTGTCTTTCATCTGTGCTAGATGTGCCCTCAATTTCTAGAAAGCTTTGTTTGATTCAGTGGGAGCTAAACCTCTCTGCTTTCGTAGGAGTCAGTGGTTTGCAGTCTTCACCCAGAATATCTGGGCCTTGGGTTCTGGTGCTTGTACTGTGAGTCGCTGAACACTCGCTGTATCCCAGCTTTTGTCAGGATGCTGAAAAAACTCACATTTTTCTAGATGATTTTAGCTTCATTCAGTGTTCTTTGGGAATGTCCATTCTATGTTGCATACACTTCAAAGGTAGTAAAGGTAGTACTGCTACTTTTTTTGGCAAAAATATTTGTTTGGTCACTGACTGAGTGGGTATTTCTGCTTCCTATCTGCTCTGTCTGGAATAGGCTGCCCAGGGAAGTGGTGAAATGGCCATCCCTGGGAGCGTTCAGAAAGTATGTATATGTGGTGCTTAGAGACTTGGTTTAGTGGTGGATTTGGCAGTGCTGGGCTAATGGCTGGACTTGATCTTAGACATCTTTTCCAACCTTGATGATTCTATGATTCTGTGCCAGTTTTGAAACAGTCTTTCAACTATATTTTCTTTTCACAGCATCATGCTGTTTGCTCGATACCTTACTAGCTCAGCTGGATTATATCTATCTGGGGTCAGACTGAATTTCAATTTTATTCTTGAGCTTTCGACTTCAGGACAGGGAAATGAAATTGTGCTTGAAAAATAACATCACAAAACTTTCTTGTAGGATGCTTTCATTCAGATGACCTACATACTCAGCAACAGTCAAGCTTTTAGCCATGATGAAGTTAAGTAGAAGCTGTTGGCCTATACTGTTAAATATTTAGGGGGCAAAATGTGTTCATTTTTTTTCTCAAATGTTTATATGCTTTGTCTTTGCTGTAGTTGTGGTGCTCATGATTCCTAGACAGCTATAAGTTTCCAACAGTATATACAATGTAATAAAGTAGCGGAGGGCTTACTCTCACTTTTTTTTGCAGAAGTGTTACTGCTTAAAGCAGTGTTTTAATAAATACATATAATGTAGCCTTAAATTTCTTTGGAGGAAAGCTCACCATAGGAGGAACAGAAGACAGTTTACTTGTTTAGTGCTTATTATGAAGGATTTGTAACTCTTCCTATAAAGAGTACTGAACCTGTAAATGAAAACAATATTAATGTTATTTCAATTTAGGGGCTCACTTTCAAAGCGTAGTTCAGTTTAAATACATAAACTAAGCATGGAATTAGCAGATCGTGGAATCACTCATTGCTTATATGGAAAAACTGACTGCAATTGCACCCTTGTCTTAGAATAATTTGAACATTTCTGTATTAAAAGCAAAAAGACCTTTTCAAATAGTTGGTAGCCCAAACTAGAAGTTTGCCAAAATCTGAAACCTACCCAAACCATTGGCTAAAGAATCACTTCTGAACTGAGGAAAACAGAGCCTGAATTCGTTGCTTTGTGTTTGTGTTTTAGTTACAGAAGAGGTTATTACAACCCCTTGAATGAAATCACTGCCTCAGATACATTGGCTTTGTTGTTGTTTGTATTGCTGTTACCTTGCCTGTCCTTCAAAGGGAATGTGTTCAAACCTGAAATTCAAATTAAAAAACTTAACTTTTTTTAATTATTTTGAGCAGAACTATGCCATTTTAAGTCTTGGAAAATATATTTCTAGTATTACTAGAAGACTGATGCAGTGAAGACTCTTGGTCTACATAAAAATTCACTGTGAACTTATGAACATAGTGAGTTTTAAGCACCTCTAGCTAGATAGGTTGGTAAAATATACTAACAGTCTATCTTGTTTACCCTTTCCCCTTTTCATACCTGAAAAAATTGTCACTAAGTCTGAGCAAACAAAATGACTCCATTAAAAAGGTAAAAGTACAGAAATGTACTTCTGATTTTGAGTTGATTGGAAAGTATTTTATGCTTCACATAAAAATCTTGTTTTACAATCTGATTTCCTTCCTTTATATAACATATATTATAAACTGAGCCATTTTATCCACCAAAATCAGTTTGTTCTTAATTCTGAAGAGTCTGTGGCTCAGGCTTCATAGATGAGCTTATTGATGCCTTTTTATTTTAAAATTCTGTGTTACTCAACTAAAAATACTTTTATTCATTAACTGGTAATGATTGCCAAAGCATATTTAAAACAAAACGTCCACCAAGGTGTAGCGATTTTTCTCTTTAAAAAATAACTGCTTGCATTGTGATGTTGAAATGTTAAGACAGAGATTTTTAAAGCAGAATTTTGCATACACAGGTATTCACTGACTAAGAGAAGCATGTTGCTTGGAAGCAGATAAGGAAAACTATTCTCTGTGGTCTTCTTGTTAGGCCCCAGTATTTTACTGAACCCTATAAATTACTGTGTTCTGCACTTATGAGAGAAATGTGGTGGTTTGAAGGATTTATTTAAGCTGCAAACTTACTGTGTTGCTAAGAATGGTAAGAGCTGTTAGAGATGGCCTGATACTTCAGAGGAGGAAATACCTACTAAATGGTGCATAATGCAATTTTTATTATTGCCAACGAGCTATATAGTGTTTTCTTTTGGCAGAGTTTCTGGAATAATGTGATTGGACATCTGAAATGAGACAATACTGAAGCTAAAGGAGCACTGTGATGCTACTCTCTCAAGACATGCTCTGCAGTTTTGTTTGTTTGTTTTTGGTTGGATTTTTTTTGTTTGGGTATGGGGGTGGTCAAGAGTTACCAGTTGCAAAAGAAATGCCTTTTTTTTCTTTTTTGGCAGAAGTCTGTTTGCTATCAGTATAGGCATGCGTAAGTTTCATTTATAGGGAAAGATCTCTATTTTAACTATTCCCAATGTTAATCTGGCCAGTTTGTAATTTGAATAGCCCTGTGGAGTTCAGTGCTTAATGCTGGGGCATTTAAAATCTTTGAGATCTTTCTAGTGCCTAAAGCTGTTGTAGAAATCTCTAAGCTCATACTGCATCGAGAGAAGAGGCTAATCTGACTTCTATGAGTTGTGCATTCTTTTTAAGGAAATTAAACCATAGTCTTTATGCTTTAAAAACCCAAACCCCACTGTTCCCATGTTTGATGAAATTTCCTGGATTGAAGAATGGCAGGCTATTTAGAAAGAACTTGTATTGATTTCAGTGCTACTTGTGAAGAATTCTGCTCCTGAAAGGCAGAGCATGCATACCTGTATTAGCTTGTCTCAGAAAAAATGTGAAGGGTCGGTCTGCTTTAAAAATAGGTGTTCGAGATCTTTTTAGTAATACCATTGCTGTAATGCAACAAAGAAAAAACATTAGTAAAATGCATCCCTTTTCTTTGCATCTTCTGTACAGTGCCCTCAAGCTCTGATGTTTAGTACCTTGAGTTTTGAGTTGCTCCTCTACTTTAACTATAAACCAAAAATTTTATCCAACAGTGAAATCAGTCTGAATTAATGAGTCCAGAGTCCTGAGACTACATGCAGGTGATTTGTGTGTATTTTGATGCTGAAGTGAGTCCTTCTGGCTTTGGATTTCAAAGGTAATGTAATTTTTGATGTTGTTGCAGCCCTAACTCTTCTGAGGTCACAATTCTTGGCTGTGCTGTTCTGATGAAAAAGATAAGCAAGGCACAGATGTAGTCCCTCTTCTAATTGGGAGACATGGAGCAGAGAAATATCTGTCATCCTGGAATTTCCCTTGTCAGAGCTCTGAACAAAACCAAAGTATCTCAAAGACTCAAGTATCTCAAGTATATCAATCTCAAGTTATGATTGATTTTCCCTTCTCTGTTTGTGGGTTAATTATTAGATTAAATAAAGAATCCTTAAGAATTATGATGGCTCAGCTATTATTAAAATACATCTTCTTTAAATAAATTATTCCTTGTAGCTATGTAGTATTAAGGATGCATTGTCAAAACACCCCAATAACTAAAACCAGCAGATTTGGATTATCTTTTGAGAAGTTAAAACAATGGAATTAATTTGAAGACTCAAGATACAGTAAAACTAGTTTGAGAGACAGTGTTTTAATGCTCATAAAAAAAGTGCCTGTTTTTGCTTTCAAGCCACCCAGTGACTAGATCCAGAACTTCTAAAGTAAACAAACATATTTTAAAATCAGCTTTTTAGCTTGGTCTGACTGGAGTTAAGGGAGTTTTGGCATTGGTTTCAATGGGATAAAGATCTATTACCCTCAGATTGAAGCCATCTAAAAGCTTTTATTTTGTGTAGGGATTAGTAAAAAAATTTATGAGAAGTAATAGAGAGGAAAATCGTTTCAAAATTTAAAACTACAGCTCTGCAGAAAGGTTAACTTGGTTACATCAACTGTTCACTGTACACCCACCTGTGTACTACATGTGTCAGATTCAAAACTGTTTCTAGAGAAATACTATAAATACACCAACTCAGGTTTGCTCAGATTCCTTTTGACATTGAGACTGTGGTACATTTGAGAGAGGGAATGTGCACACTGCAGTGAGGTTCACTGCTCTCTCTATGTGCCTCTTGAATTCCTTCCTGGAAGCAAGGAGGAAAAGTGGGAGAGACTCAGATCTTGCCCTGATCCACAGTCAAAGACCACCACCAGCATTTGCATTGTGTGTGTGGAACATGTCTACAGTTGGCACAGCCCAGGGAAGGAGAAAGATGAGAAGTGGTTAATGATCACCCTGCTGCTGTGCTGATATTTGAATGGCTTGAGGGCAAGTTCAGCCTTTTCAGAGAAGGAATGGAAGGGGGTTAGGATTACAGGTGCTTTCCATGCTTGCTTGGATCATCTGAGGCTTCCAAAGACAAAACAAGAAAAGCAGGGGCCTCCTTTGATAAGGCTCATGTGACCAATTAAAAAAAAAAGGGAGGAAGACACAGCTCATTCATTTTGGTTCCCCTGCTTTATGTAAATTGCGTGAAGGATTTCAGCTGGTGAAGGTAATTTACTAACCGTGTAGTCTGTAGCTGAGATTTTACTCTGAATCTCCCTGTTCACCCAGCCCCAGCTGCTCATGAGGAAATGATCCTGTAGCAGAAGGTACTGCATGTGAAGGTCACACTTCAAAGTATGTAAGAATCAAGCCTGTCTCTGTAAAACTTTCCCATCATTACTTTTAGTGCTGTCAAAGAGATCATCTTCAAATCTCATAGCAGTTCAGGCACTATAGATAAAATATTACCAAGCTTTTCTCATTATTTGTTTTTATGGTCTGAATAAACGTATTTGACCAACAGAAAAATAAGTGGTATATTTTCTCAAACAGAATCTTACCTGGGTTGATAAAGTTGTTTTTCATTAGAGCCGTTACATGTTAGACTGAGATAAAAAATTACAGGTTCTTATGAACATTTACAAAGGTAAAATGGAAGTGTGTTAAATAGAAAAGTTTAAATTTGGATTAGGCATACATTTAAATACTACCGTGCTTGTTTGCTTTATTTTAAATAAAAGGCTAGTAGTTTTGTAAAAGGCCCCAGAAATTAGAAGTTATGTCTGTATATTTGATTTACCTGTAGCTCCTGATGCCTTTGTACCATCTTCTGTTATTTCAATCTCTGCTTTGTGAATAGCTTCCGAAATGTAAAGACTATCTTGATCTGAAAAAAAACCCATGTTAATAGTTATTTTCTGAATTCCATTACAAACTTATTTTTAAAAGTAATCGGAATGCTTTTGCCTTTTTTCCTGCAGAATCTAAGGATCATATAACTGTTAGGTATTTTAACCATCTAAACTGTTTTCCCCCTATATGGACAAGAGTGGACTGAATGCTGGATGGGAGTTACTAGTTTGAGAGGTCTCCAGGTTGTGGTGGAAGGCAGGGTTACATGGTGAAAGTAGAAACTAATTAACACAGTGAGGAGAAGGCAAGAACTGAGAAACCATTGAAAGGAAAACGACAGGAAAAAAAATGCTCTTCAGGAAGAAACAATGGGACTGTGACATAAAATGGAGCTTGGAAAAAAAACTTACTTCAGAAAGCTACTGAGTATTACAAGCTTGCTTCTCTCCAGCTGACTGTGGAGGGCAGAAAGCAGGGAAGATTGGCAGACTTTTTTTTCTTGTCAAATACTTCTGGAAACTACCAGGATGCGTACAGAAGAAGGAAGCTGCTAAATTATATTGTTTATGGAGTTAATTTCCTCCAAGCACGTATCTTATTTAAATAGATATTAACTTTATAAAATACATCTTTGCGCACTTCATCAGTATATTAATATTTGTTTGCAATAAACAAAGCAGCAGGCTTTAACAAAAAACTGAGCAGCAAAATTATTTTAATGTGCATCTCTTTGCAGTCTGAGATACAGAACATAGCAATAGAACACTGCTATGTTCAATTTTAAAAGTGGCATGAAAAGCTCCATGAGAAATGTGCCTTCTGAGGTTCATCCTAGGAAAGTAGTTTTTCTGTAAGAGCAGGTTTGAACTGAAGGATTTTCAGTTATTCACTCACATGCACAAGAATGTAAGGTGCTCTCTGGGTGCTACCACTCTGAGTCTTTACTATGAGCAGAAATGACTAAGGTGAAAATCTTTGTGTTGCTGGAAGTAGTCGAAGAAGAAAGAAAATTGATAACTTGGATTCTTTTTGTATTTAATATTAAATAGGGGCAAAAATTTTCCAAGGAGCAGAAGAATTTCAGGCTTCCAAAACCAAGAGTTTAGTCATAACACCAGTATTTTAGCAAAGGGAAAGTATAACTCCATCCACTGATCACTGGATTGGCAAGATAATGTGACCTGGGCATATACCATTACTGTTTGTAGTGTCAGGAGCTGAAATACAGACTTGTTGGTCCAGCATCCCTGTTTAATGACTATTTAAAAACACAAATAGGATGCTTTAGTAAAACTTGCATCCCTAAATTTCTGAATAAATAAACATTTTTCAGGCCTGTGCCATCTTGACAGTTTTAATCTTAAAGAAAACAGAAGGAAAAAGTAAGCTCAAGACCCAAAACAACCCTGTCCTTTTCAGGTTCCTCTTTTCCACAAAAAAGCTCAAAATTTTATCAATTGGCAAAATTGATAAAATCAACTGATAGAATAGAGCAGTTGAGGTGTGAGCTGTGTTTTAGAATTTTGCAGAGAAAGCAGTGCAACTAATTCAGAAGACTCAGGTCTACCAAATCACTCAAGGGTAGAAGTCTACAACTGTTGGGTCAAGGATCATTTTATATTTAGTCAAGTCTCTTACCTGAAATGCCTTTAAAATTAGCGGTGATGGGGTCAAATGCGTCTTTAACTCCCAAGGCAGAAAAAACTGTCTTTAGGTCAAAAAGGCTTTGAATACTGAACCTGAAATTATTATGATAGATTTTATTTAAATGCTGGATTTGTAGTTTTGTAGAGTTAAAAGCATAACAGATGCGATTTATTTCAAGCCTTTCCATTTCATCCATCTATTCCTTTATGACCCCAGTGCATGCTGTCTGATTAAGTGTACTTTGCAGAAAAGCACCTCATCTTCACCTGAAGTTTTTAATAGAAGGAATCCCTCATCATCATCTGTTGCACTCAGATTGCCTTTCAGTCTTCTTGACATATGAACTCTGCATTTTCCCAAGTTTGGCTATAGCAAATGGCACTTCGAAACATTTGCCAATGATTAGCTTGGAGAAAAAGAATATTAATGCATAAACAGTTTCTCAGGGCTTCATTAATGTGATGAATGCATAGTAAGAGATGTATAATGAAGTCCTTCCATGCTGATCCATACAATAGGTACAGCCACAAAAGGCCTCCTCTACTTGCTGCCTCCTGCTGTGCAATTTCAGTGGAATAGATGATAGAAAATACCTCCAGGGTATGTGTGTTTGCCAACAGCAGCAAATGACTAAAGTGGAAAATGAATGATGTGAGCTTGGTTTGTGCATGGAAAAGATGGGTATGACTGACAGTAGGGGTGTGCACAAGTTCTTTGTACAGTGCCTTTTTGTAGTACACTGACAAGTTTAAAAAAGACACAATAGTGTGTATTTACAAGGTTATATATTTTTTTTCTCCCTTAAGCAAAGAGAAAAATGGAGTGTGGGAAAGGTCCAGCAACATATCTCTTTTAGGTCTTTAAAGGTTTGTTAATCCCAAACAAATTTTAAGTAAAACCTGTAGGATCAACTGCAATACTTCATTTTTTTAAGACATTACAGAGCATACCAGAAAGTCTCGTCATTCCCAGCTCACCTGTTTGTGCCTTAAGAAAGGCTGTCTCTGATCGTGAGATGAATAACAAAACAGAAAGCATGTCACTTGATTTTGCTCACACATTGCTCGTGAAGGTGCTATCACATGAAATTCTGACAGTTGAAGTAGTGAAGCTATCATGCTAACGTTGCTTACCTAGGTAGAAAAATGTCCATCTTTGTTCTCTTTAAGCTGTTGGCCCAGAGGGTTATGTCTTTGGCAGAAAGGTGAGACTCAATCTGGGACAAAGGTGTTCTTTTATGGCTGGGAAGCACTAGGAACATGCTGTGTTTCTCTCCCAGGTAGGGTAACTCGACCACACTGAACGCCTCCAGAGCCGCAGTCTGGAACTGGCCTGTGGGTGGGCAAATGTAGACCTTATTTCATCATCAAAGTGGGAAAACTCCCCCCAAACCTACAACCCCAGCTAGGGTCAGCAGACAGTTCAGAGCAGCTGTGGTAGGATTTAAGGAATTGTCTCTAGTACATAGATTCTTGTAGCCAGCTCAGGTTGCTATTAACTCACAACAGTCTCTCATCTGAACAGAGCTGATTGTGAGAGAGACGTATGTATCTTGGCAGAAAAGTGCTAGTGCAAGTAGTAGTAGCCAAAGCAGCGCCTCAACAGAGCATGAGTATTTTATTACTTTCTCATATAATAGCTGTCCTCCTTGCTCAGAGTTTAAAAAAATATTACCAAGGCAATGACAGTAACTGTGATGACTCGTCCTGCAATGCACGTTCTTTAACTAAAGATGCAATTTTATGTCTTTCACTAAAATTTTAGTGCTGATAGAAGTTACAAAAACAAAATGAAGTATCCCACTTAATTAACTGAAATCTACTTTGCCTCATGTTTCTGTCTCTGTGACCTTTAAAAATCAGTTTTAGTCTTATTTCAAGAAAAAAATAGTTATATTAAACAATAGTTTATGCTTATTTAAGCATCATATTTATAATTTTTGAAAGTCGAGGCACAAAAATCTATCAAAATCAGATGAAGGTTATAAAAACTAGTCTCAAGAGTAAAAGCTGGAGGGCTTCTAAACTTGCAATTGGTTATACAAAAATTTGTAATAACCATTTTAATGTACCATTTTAATTCCATATTTCAAAGAACAATTTAACCAGGCATTTCTAATGGACTCTGTTATGCAGTAGAACAGATTCCACTATCACAATTTTAGCTTCTTATTTTTCCGTCTGAGAATCCAATAAATAGCATTTCCGGAACATTCAGTACTAGTTAGCAGACCAGGAGTTAAATGCAAGCTTAATACAAGTTGCAAGCAAACATCTTATTGCCTTTGCTGCAGGCCATCCAAAATACTCAATCTACTCCTTCTTTACCTGGCTGTAGTAGTTGTAACTTCAAGGTGCTCACACTTTCTGAACCAGGGATTGTAAATAACAGAATATATGTAGCTCATGTTCATAATACCTAAATATTTGGCAATATGTACATAGCTGTAGGATGTCTCAAGTACTTAGTGTACAATATTTGTTAGTATTGCAGATATGGACTAGATAGGATTTGTAAAGTGTTGATTATTCTGCTAGATTAAATCTTGGGCTCTTAGATGAGCCCTCCTGCTTTGCACCATGGAGAGAGAATTGCTCTGTTAAAACTAACTCCCAGCATGTGGATCATTTGCTGGGAAAAGATGTTCTGCTTTCCAATGGGCAAACAAGGAAGATTTACATTTGTAGTGCACTGGGCACGAGTGGTTTAATAGGCGGGCATGCTGATAATTTTAAGTCAGCACATTCTGTGCAAAGGTTATACAGTCCTTCCTTATTTGTTAATTAGAAAGAAAATCAAAGACTTTATGTTATTGAGTCAGAACATTTAGTGTTCCTTGCTTGAACTGATTTTGAGCATCCCATAAGGATTATACACATGCTAAATTAGAATTCAAATGTCGTTAACAAATGGCTTGGAAAAATGAATATGTAAAGTAGCTGCAGTGTTTAAGAGGCATGTGTGAACAGTAATGTTGACATTTTCTTAGAGCAGTGTTACTTATCCCCAGGCTGATTTGTTCTTCGTGGCAATGTTAAAAGGATAAACAATGTTGTAAAAGTTGCATTTGATAGTAGGTTACAGCTAATCTTTCTCACTCTGTGCTTTGGATCCTGGTGGGAGACAGCTACTATCATTTAATAATGACAGAAAGTTATCTTGGGCCTCTGTTTAGTTGTACTGAGCCTGTCTTTTGCATTTATTTCAAACTGATTTGTTAGAAATGTTTCTGTCACTTTTAGTGACAAAGACTGAATTGGCTCAATCAAGCCTGACAATCAGCAAATTTTAAATGATCCCTTTCATTTTGGCTTTCCTTAGAAGTCTCTCCAGCTGCAAAAAGCTTACATACTTCAGGCTGGATTAGTATTTTGGGTAACTTCCTTTTCTGTGCAAATATTTAGTGCTTCAGCTACCTACTTAAGGATGATAGGATGGAGTTCTTGTGTTCAGGCAAGTGGTTAAATAAGCAGAACTAACAATTTCACATCAAGTTTGCAAGGATTCTGGTGCAAATATGGGGTCAGACAATGCAGTTCAGCTGCTGAATTCCTGGTCACTGGCTTTCCGTGACTATACCCACTTGTATAACCATTGGCAGCCCCCTGCCTTCTGTTGTTTTGGGCCTCTCATTTCTTTATTTCTCTCTGCTAAAAGAGAAAGTTCAGAGAAAAGGTCCATTCTTAAGGTAATAGCTGTATTTGGTGAGCTTCTTTTGCCACTTGCTTCTGAAATACATGATGCTCACCAAGTATGTTCCCAAGAAACCTATTTGTTTACCTCTTAAAGCAGTGAAGGGTAAGGCTATTCAAGAGATCATGGGTAGCAAAAGCTCTTACTGTGAGCTGGTGATACAAAATCACCCAGGACTGAAAAATTGAGTTGATGTAGTTCATGTTGCTCAACAACAAGGAAGATGAGGTGTAGGGTTTTGGAAAGGGAAACTGCACTCCTCAGTAAAGTAATTTAATTTGTAAAAGGTTCAAATGTAAATAGGATGGGAGTGTGTAAAGTCAGAGGTGTGAATGTGGTCAGGAACTGGCAGTCCCAGCAGGAGGAAGAAGCAATGGTGGGCACACTATGAGTGTCCAGAAAGAAGAGATACCACAAAGAAAGATGTAACTGTAAGGACAGACTTGCAAAGAGCAGAAGAAATTATTTCTTGACCAGGTGAATTATGGTTTAGAGATAAAAAGGCATAGAAATAAGGAGCTGCCATCTGCCTGCTTGATGTGACTGTTGCACAGCAAAGGAAAATGTTTTAGCCATATAAGCTATTAAGCCATATAAGCTATTAGATATTTTTTTAGATTCATGCCAATTATTTGTTGTAACCGGTGGCAAAGAAGTAGTCCGATGATAGAGCAAAAGATAATGGTGAGGTTCCTAATGGAAATGAAGAAAAGAGTAATTACACTGCCAGAGATGGAAACAAAGTTTACATTACTTCACATCATAAGTTCTCATCACATTAGAGAGATGAATAATAATCTGGAGCCTGGATGATTGCCACCCCAAAATATGAGAAGAACTTGGATGTGGAATTGCAAATGAGTGAGCAAAAATTTTAATAGACTGTAAATTCAGTTGTTTCCCATGATTGGAAAAAAGGATTAATTTATAAAGAAAAAGAAAGTAATCTGGAAAGTTTTAGAAAGTACTCTGGAGAAAACAATAATCAAGTCACAGAAGGAAATAGAAAGTGAGATAAATTGCAATATAAAGTAGACTAGCAAACAAATCTATAAACTTTTTTGACTAAATAACTAATTTGATAAAAAGGCATAGATCCAGCCATCTAGTTTTAAATAAAACAGCAAATATAATTTCACTGTGGCACTATTTACAGGTTAAAGTGATGGCAGTTAGAGCAGGAAAAGGCAAGCAGCAAGCAGATACTTAAAGCAATGTAAAAGAGGGGCTCCCAGGTTGAAAAGAGTTACTAGTGGCTTTCCAAAGTATTGTCCACACTGAGACTTTCATCAAAGACAGTCATTTGCCATGACGACTAGAGTGGTGGAAATCAAATGGTGGAGATTTCTCCCCGTTCCCCTTGAGGACTCATCAGCTGGAAAAAAATGCAGAAAGGAAAAAGGCCCAGGTGGGGCCAACCTTGAATAACCACCCTGAGCTGGTTCTGTGCTACGCTATGCAAGGTACTTTTAGGAAGACATAGAAATACTAAAATCATTTTAGTGAGCATGAATATAGCTTCGTTAAAAGTGTTGTGTACATTCCTGATCATTTATTCTCAAGAAAGATTGATTTAAATTTGGAAAAGTGCAAAAAAGAACTAGTAGAGAATTGGAGCCTCATTTTCAAATAGCTTAGAAGAGCCAGCTGCTTCAGTTTATCTAACAGGAAGTTGAGAGACAACTTGGTGACTTGCAGATAATGTTTGGGAGTAAATATCAAAGCTGAAGAGAAACTATTTAACTTAAAGCTGGCATGATGTTAAGAGATATAAATTGGTCTTGAGAAAATTTATACTTGGAATTAGGGAAGTTTTTACCCAAGTGCACTTCTGAAATTTAGGGTAGAAGGGAAAGGAGGTTTTTATATTTTGAAAGAGGCTGTATAACTAACTGGCATAATTCCTGTTGGTAGAAAATTAAACCTGCAGCATAAGTCCTCTTGTCAGCAACCCACATACATCAAGCCTTTGAAAGTAGCCTACACTGTATTCATATATTATAAAAATAAAAGTTTGACCTATATTTATAGTGGTTTAAACCTGTGCTGAAATCACCCACTGATTTGGTTTAAGCACCATAAAAAATTATCTTTTCTTTCAGAATTTGGCCCTGAAGATCTGCAGTTTTACCCTAAAGTCTTGGAAACAGGCTGTGACTAGAGACAAGAGGGGTGGGTGTGCAGTGCTGGTGTTCCTGGTTATACCATCCTCCCTCGATGCTCACACACTCAAACGACAAGCAGGGATTCGGCTGAGGGGCCAGAAAATTTTTTATTTACCCCACAAATCAAATTGGCTTGATATAGTTTTAGTCTTAACTACCCCTCTGTCATGGGGTCAAACGTGCTTCCTATGGTCCCCCCTTCCTAAGCAGCTTTATTTAGCAAGTTCCATGCTATTGTAAAGGACTTTTTATACTGTGGTACCCTCAGTCTCTTATGTTCCTTTCTCCTGGTCCATTATCTTGGTGCCTTTTGGTTGTTTGCTACAGCTGACATTATGGAGTGCTAGGAGGTGTTGGTCTGTGAAGGATGGGACAGGGACAGTAGATATTTTAGGAACCATTCTGAATGCAGAATCTGTTTAATCAATGCTTGGCATTATAAGGAGTCAAGTTGACCACTTAGGTCGTCTCTTCATTTGATGGGATTTCTTCTGAGACTTCTCTAAGCTAGGAAAATAACACTATCTTAGTGTGGTATTTGTGGAAAATAAATAAAGAAAACTGTTCCAGGTTGTACAATAGCTCAAATCTGGATTAAGGACAGTTACCATAGTTAACTTCGGCTGTATGATGCATTGTGGGCACTTTCAGGGTTGAGCCCTCTGATGTGGTAAAAGGCAACATCTGAGTGTCCATAAGGGAAAACTTCTTTTGCCACGTGCTTCTGAAATACATGGTGCTCACCAAGGCAACCTGGCTGAGCGACGACCTAGCGGTCTCCAACAGCATGCCACGCACATCCCCATCTGCATGGAAAAGAGACAGGGAGAGGGACACATGCATCCTACTTGCCCAGGCCTAAAGGCCAGGTCCGTGTGACTAAATAAAGCAAGTCGGGACCTGAGCTTATGGTTCTACATGTTCCCCATAGCACCATGAAAGCATTCAGTGCCACAAACATCATCCCTGGGGAATTTGGCTGTTCTCCATCCCGAAAGGCAAGAGGCAAAACTCATAAGGTACTGTTAACCCTCTACCTTCCCCTCCCCACATATGCACGGACCTCATCTGGATTGCCTGCTGGTCCCTGCTCTCCCCAGAACTGAGTTTGAGTTGGGCAATGTTGAGGGTCAAAGCTGTGCCAGCACTGTGCTACTTGCTGAACAGTGCAGATGACAGCAGCCCAGTGTTCAGCACTATGCCCTAGCTCTAACTGGTGTTCTAAGTTAAATATGCCCAGGTGTATCTCAGAGGTGTTCATCATTAGTACCAGAAATACCTCATGGCATGACTACAGACTGCTTTATGAAGTAACTAAGTCACCTGGGGCTTATATCCTAATTTTCCCCTTCTCCTATTTACTTGTCAGTTCAACTGATCCTGCTTTGGGTATCTCAAAGATTTCTGAAAGAGTGATCCGCTTTTAATTCATTGATATTGCAATGTGAGCACTGCAATATGACCTCTCATTTTAGTACCTGCTTCTAGAGCAATACACTTCTGTTGTGGAGCTGGATCACTTCTTAGTGTTCATTTGAGAAGGACAGAATTTTTTTTTCGTTAGTTTCAACAGCTTTAATGTGTGTATTTAACATCAGCTCATATGTTGCTGGCCAAATTAACATTCACATAAGTTGACAGGGCAAATCAGGGACTGCTTTGCTCTGCTGCTTCTTAGGACTTTCTTTTTCAATTATTGTTTTAATTAACACAGAATTTAATTTAATTACTTTTCTTGCTTATGTGGAAAGTAAATTCTTTTTATTTCCCATTTTGACTTTTTAAACTCAGAGTCTGACTGCTGAGCTTATGGTCCTGCATGTTCCCCATAGCACCATGAAAGCATTCAGTGCCACAAACATCATCCCTGGGGAATTTGGCTGTTCTCATTAAAAGCGAAAACACTGCAAAGGATTGCCATTTTAAAAATTAGAGGAATGAGGCCAACTGGTTACCAGCTTGATACTGCAAATTTATACTCACAGGTTCAGACCTATTCCCACTCTTTCTTCACGTTAGAAATGAATGTCAGCACAAGAATTAGTTTTTCTGGCTTTCAGCCTTGGTTTGGACAACAGAGTGTGGCAAAAAACTGTACTTGGTTTAATGCAATTTCTCTCATTACTCTTATTTTACATGTTATTCATATGCATTCTTGTAGGTTACTGTGTTACCTGCAAGGTTACTGGTGATCCATTCCTGTATTTGGGCCGTGGTTCTGTTGGGGTCAGTAAAGTTGGTTTGCTGCAGGCTGCTGTTCGCCCAGCGTGCAGCATGTGCAGTGAAGTGAGGCGAGAGCTGTGTGCCAGCATCCACAAAGAAGGAACATGCCAGCTGAACCACGGTGCCTTGGCTCGAGTCGGTCACTCCTTCATACACTGTGCGCAAGAAGTCCTGCGCGCTTTGATCTGCCAGGCAAGAGAGAGGGAGAAACTGCAACTATCATGTTGAGGTTAAGGATTGCCCCAGGGCTCCACAACTCTCAGCTCCAGTGCTGACACTGGTGTCCTCTGATTGTTAAAGCACGGGAGCACCCTTGACTTTATGGAGCATTACTGTCAAGCACTACCGTTGAGGGCGATGATGCCCTAGGCGTGGTAAAGCACTCTTCATGTTGCTGTAGGAATCACTCTAGTGCACGTGTCAAGCAGCTGAACTCACATCAGGTTCACACCTCTATGCAAATGCACCTCTGAACAATTTATAAGGTACATTATTTTTTGCTTTTGGGCCCTCTCTGAGTTCCCATTAGCGAGATCTAGTACCTCTGGCAGTGACTGGCCACAGTACCACTGTCTCCTTCTCTTGTCATTATCCACCTATCCCAGGAAAGGCATCTCCCTTATAGCTCCAGGTTAGTCTCTGCTGCCCTTGGCCCCTAGCCATTGTTTTGTTTCTTGAAGGATAGTGTCCTGAACTGGCCCAGTATTGGTGATGAGCCCTGACAATGCTAAACAGAACCGATGGTTGCTTCACATGTGTTAGAAGTGACTCGTCTATTCATACAAGCCACAACCATGTCTGCTTTTTTTTCAAGTACAATTGTATTTCCCATTCAATATTATTTTCTTCTAATTCCTCAGATCCTTTCCAAAAACTACTATTTTTTGACTCATGGTTCCCCAATTTGGATGACTCATTATTTCTTGTAAATCTAGAATTTTGCACTTGTCCTTACTGAGTTGTATCCTATTCAGTTCACATGTTTCTCTGCTTTCCAGGATCCTTTTAAATACTATTCTGGTCCTCCAAAATGCTTGTAGCAATTACAAGCTCAGTGTCATTCCAAAATTCAATAGTGTATTCTTTAGTTTGCTGTCTAGTAATAGAAATAGCTGAATAATGCCCTGGTCTCCTGTTTCTGAAAAGCTCATAGTAGTTCAACAGTGGTGGCTTCTGTGATGGATACATGGTTGAGGTGTGAGCCCAGAATGAACATGAGTCCTGCAAACTCAGAGAATCCTGTATTTTTAAAATCACTACGTTCCCATAGACTCCCTTGAAAGGTGATTTAGGAGCCATTATTTTTCTCAATTGCAATAATTTGTGATTGAATGGTTCATGACAAAGTGGCCTCCTGAGGCCTGGGACTCTCACCCCACCTGAACAACATTTATGTGCTCTGTGTCAAATCTCCTCAAACTTCCCGTGTTTGCAGTTCAGCCCCTTTCCTAC